TAGGAATAACACAGTAGGGATGCAATATAACACTAATATAATATATGCCATTATGATTGTTCATTGTTAGATACAACCATCTTTCCCTGATTTTTTATGTAATTATAAGTTCGGCAATAATAATAATAAAAAAGAGGGGCAGGTGCACTAACACCTCATAGCATCACTAACTCAACAATCTAGTATGGTTTTCCTCAGCATTTGCAGTATCTGCACAAAGGATACGTCGGGCAGCTGCTCGAAGATCTCGCCTTTGGAGAAGACTGTTGATTTTATACTTTAAAAATTTAAGTATTACTATTTAAACATTAAGATTACCCCAGAATGAATTGCATCGTTTGCCCACCCCAACACTTACATGCAATAATAATGATAAATGCTAACCAATAATTCCTTTTTTTTTTAAACTTAAAATGAAAAAATGTATACTTTTTTTGTCGTGAATCATGTATTTACAGATGGTGAACCCCACATCCTACTGCCATCTCAACACAGCTGAGACAGTTCTGCTGCTGCGCTGTGCTTCACAATCTCGCTCTTCTCAATGGGGACATCGTTGAGCAAGAGGATGAGGAAGACCATGATGACGGCTCTCTGAACCACACAACCTAGAAGCAAGAGCAGGGGAACACATGCGGGACAATCTGGCTGCCACTGTGTCTGCTCCAAACATCTGTGTGTCTGCTCTCCATGAGCACGACTAGCTGTAAAACGTTTAAACGGAGTTACACATTTTACAGTTCATGCTGTCAGCTTTCCATTTCTTGCCAAATTTCATGTTTACAATTACATGCATTTTTTTTTTTTTGGAGCTTTATTACTTTTGTAGTGGGCTAAACCACTGAAGTGGTGAGCAGAAGCTTGCTGGTTCAAAAGCACCAGTATGTCCCGGAGCAATCCAGGTCATTCCAGGGGATTGTAGGTCCCTGTAATAAGAGCACTGTAAATCATTTTGGATAAAAGCTTCATGACATTTTTTGATGATGCTTTTGAAGCTTCTGAAAGTCAGCCTTCATTGTATGAACAGAAACCAGCAGAACAAACTTGACCAAACTCACATCCTCAGTGTCTTTTGGTGTTTCTCTAGATGCTCCAGCTGGCTCTGGGGTCACTGAGGATGAAGAGATCACAGCAACATCTGGCCCAGATGAGACAGTAAGAGGTGGAGTGATGGAGCGTCTCATCCGCAGCACTGGACCATTTCCAGGATGCTGCTGTGAGCTTCCCATCCTCACTGCTCACACCAGTCTGCAGACATTTCAGATCCTGCAAAGATGCACAAACACAATACAAAAGCAATTATTTTAACAGCATAATGTCATCTGATTTCTGTATTGGAAGTAACAAAATTATCTTATATTTTTGTTTCAGGTTTTCCCTTTTTTTCACAAATGCCGCAGTCACCTTGCCTTGCAGGTCCTGCTCCACCACAAAAGCTCTGCAGCAAATGCACAGACATCAAGAATCAGAAAAGTGCTGTAATAGTTGTTTGAAATTACAATAATTAATATAAACTACAACGTAAGATTTTAAATATGTTTATATAGCATTCCTTCATCAGTCAGTCTGCAGCGGATAAACACACGTGTGTCTCATCTGTCCCTGTAACATCCAGATAAGAGTCAAGTCACCTCAGTGATTTATCTGCTCAATACTGCATTTACATGTTGAAGAGGTTGCTGATGTAACTCGCTTTTTATTCAACACAAATGTTCCTTAAATTATCAATATTACAAATGGACAAATAAAATAGATAACTTATGTTTAGTTACTTTATGTAGATTTGTTTTCTTACATGACTTACATTCATCTAAAACAGTGTTGACAGAGAATTCTACATAACAGCACACATACTGTTTACAGATGCCTGTTTCATGTCTATTAGATATGCTCATCTGCAATACTAATCCAAGATTATCCTGTCAGATGTTAAATAGACATTTAGTAATTGTCTTTAAATAAATTCTTTAAAAATCCTACAATGTGATTTTCTGGATTTTTTTTTCTCATTTTGTCTCTCATAGTTGAGGTATACCTATGATGAAAATTACAGGCCTCTCTCATCTTTTTAAGTGGGAGAACTTGCACAATTGGTGGCTGACTAAATACTTTTTTGCCCCACTGTATATATGGCTCATGTAAATCCACTTTTGAGATGTATGTGTACTTAATGGAGCTCCCCTGTTAGTTGTGCATTATAAAACGTGTTTTTACAGCAAAATAACAAATATTATGTAGGTCACAGACAGGGTTTAGATTAAACCGGGATTAGGCCATAGTTCAATTCGGATATTTAAGTAGCTTTTATAAACGTGCCTTGGATAAAAACACTACTGATGTGCATTTTGAGACAAATTTTTTTTTTTTTAAGATCAGCCAGTTCAAGTTGCTTTCAGTTAAAACAGCCCAGACATGCATTTTAGTCTGGGACTAGTCTTGACCAGCCTTGTCTGTGAAACCGGGGGATAGTGTCTTTACACCTTTTGCTTATATATTGCTTACTTTACACCTTAGTTTTAATAGATTATTAACTCAATAAACAATATCACTGTATGAAAATAACTTACACACTTAATTTTGAACGGTTATTTCGGAACAAAAAAAATTATATCACCGTTGTCTCTATACAAGCGGCCATCTTGCCAACAACATCTCGTTTTGACATCTCGCGTGGTTCTGTGTGATTTGGACAACTTCAAGTTATGCCTCCTTGTTCAAGTTACGCCCCCTTCAAGTTACGCCCCTGTCTTGCAGTCCGCAGACAGACACACTTGGGTTAATTACATTGTGCTAGCGGTCTCTTTAATACCGCGTGGTTTACATACATGTTGCTGCTGATTGGGCCGACATGTTTGACAAACCCACCAAACAAGAGAAAACGCATCTCAAACCCCGTTGCACACCGTTTCCAGGAAACATGTTGTTCAAACCGGAAACCGTAGCAAACCGGTGCACACCGGTTTGAGCTTGAACTTGCCCCTGCCAAAACTCAAATGGAATCGCAATTCCTTTTGCATTTGAATTTCCGATGTCTACATGGAAAGCTGCCAATCAATAAGAGGGGGCGGGACTATACTAGGGGGCGTGTTTGTATTGGGAGGTGACATCACTCACAGACGACCGTGCCGAATCTTTGATCAATGGGGGTAATAGGTTAACGCTCCGCTAAAGGCAGCTACCAATCAGTTTCGTACCTGTGTGAACGAATAGACAGTGCAACCAAGTTGGCACAATACATAATTCTGTCTTTTTTATCCTAAAATGTAGCGATTATCCCCTGCTAACAGCCGGAGCCAAAACGGTACGCACAATAGGTCAATATTCACTATTAACCAAACTTTTCACCTGTCTCAGCATCTCTCACTGTTAGAATCCATAATAGAGAGCGTGTCACACCTGCCTCAAGACCTTTTACCGTTTGCACTCCACTTTTTTTTATTTATTGTTGTTGATTATCCCAAATGAACGCGCTTGTTTTGCTTCTTTACATATAGGCTATACTTGCTGTATGCCTTATAGGCCAATATAGGTACGATTCTGACGAATTGCGTTCGTACAGTTCACGTTCACGGGTTAATAAATCACTATGAATAAAGCATTTCCTGTTATTCCTGTTATTTGCAGAAAGGGTAGTTTCTCCCAACATTTAAAAGACATAATGCACAACAAACGAAAAAGAGGGAAAGGAATATGATTAGACCACGGACTCGAACTCCTGTCACTAAAGGCAACACTGTACAGCCGCAATGAACACAGACCACTGTATTACGGAAACGTGATACTTGAAATATAATGAAATTGTACAACTTGTGCACATAAGACAAAGAAAAAATCTAAATATCACATGATGAAATTCCAAATATTGGTCGCAATGTTGAAAAAAAATCAGGGTCCTTGAAGTGGATTGCCATTCAGATCGCCATTCTACTACACATGTCTGACCACCTACTTCATGCCATAGGTAAATCTACAGATAGGCTTGTGCTCATTTGTGAGTTAAGGCCGCGGAATGACAGTCTCAAAAGAATCCGCAAATACAAAAGCACGTGTAGACATTCTTAAGGCAGAACACTAATGCAAAGGACTCGCGATTTGTTGTGCATGAAATAACGGGTACAGATACAGTATTTGAGGATCAGTCTTTGAGCAAAGAAACAATTAATGCACTTGCATTTGCCTGGATTGCCATGTGCGCGCGTGTGGATCTCTCGCCTGCATTTGTGGGTTGTGTGCGCGTGTGGATCTCTCGCCTGCATTTGTGGATTGTGTGTGCGAGTGTGGATCTGTCGCATGCATTTGTGGATTGTGTGTGCACTGTTTTCACTCCATAATAGAGCCCAATGTCAGCTGCATAACAGAGATGAACTGGATTTGTGTGTTTGAGTACTTTTTGAACATTTCCAGCACATTTTATCCATGATATCCATGATAATATTAAAAACCGTGATAATTTTGATCGTGCTATGAAATTTTCATCTTTTCATCTTTCATCAAATTTTCACCGTTTCATCTCTAGTTAACAGACCTGTGCATATTGAACAAACTTACAGAGTAAAATTGGAACAATGCACAAATATGTCCATATTCCGATCTGGTTTGCTTATCATTTGTGACCTGAGCTTCACCAAAAGAATACATTTTAAGATTGTTGTAGGAACTTAAACATAATCGGTGCATTTTATCAGAATTATTTTTATTGATTTTACCACCATTTTTCACATCATTTGTCTTCACTACTTCACTACATAATAGTCTTTAAATAACACACAATTGAGCACACACAAGATGTTTCTGATCTACTCCAACATGTGAAACTGCAAGCTTTATTTACGAAAAAAAAAACAATTACACGTAAGAAGCATTTGCTACAACGTTTCTAGATCAGCCATAATGCTTAGATATGAGGAGGATATAACTTGAAGATAGAAGAGTTCATGAAAATCTCTTTGGCAGAAACCTCTAATATGTACATTGATGATATGTGATGCTATATTTCTATTTCAGATGTCAAAATTACAGTCTTTGTAAAACAACTTAACTTGTCTATTCCATGTATTCAAAAATATCTGCAATTTATTCAGGCTCTTGAGTATAATATTTTCACCATGATCATTATCTCCATTTGTTGCCCAATAAGCTTGGGAGACCCATGAACTTCCTGTACTGTTGTAGCAGCAAAACGCCATCCACATGTCAGAAGGAATGTTCACTCTTTCATTCAGAATATTGTTGCCAGGTTTAGCTCCTACCAGCACGTAGGCTGAGATTCTGTTGTTGTTTTTTTGGTCACGACAGTAATTGTCCATGATTTCTCTAGTTTGCTGTTCCATGCGTTTCCAGCTGCCGTTCCTTATGTTGTTCCTCTGTGGCACGCTATTGGTGAGTGTGAATGTGGATTCAGCAGTTTCTTTATCAGCTGCGTGACATACTGGAAATAGATGACCGGGACTCAAGTTTTGAGTGTCACTGTAGTAGTCACCCCTGCTAGCCTGATTGATGAACGGCACACTGATTTCATAACTTGAAGGTTCAAGCTGTAGGACAAATAATTGAAAGAAAAACAGTCAATAAACAAGAATGTCAGAAAAAATTAAATGAAGTATAGAATCATTTTTTTATAACCAAAAAAAAACCCACAACAAACCTCTATTAGTAACATTACCTGCGATTCGATCTTCCAATGAGTCTTTTTTTGGCTTTCGTATTTTTTTATTCTGATATATTGGTAAGCTGAGAAAACAGGGATCTTCTTTGTTGTATCATACAGTGTTGCAAACCGGTTGATATTGTTGCATTCTTGACAGATTATTTTGTTTAGTATCACCATTTACTGAAGTTTTCTACAACCTTAGACATCATGAAAAACCAAGCACCAACAGAAGAGAAACGCTCATAATAAACAGCCGCATCTTCACCTGTGTTCACGCAGAACTGAATCACAAATGTAAAAGTAAAGCTGACGTGTAGTTTTTCTTTTACACCTTTTGAGCTGTGAAATATTCAGCATCAAGACTTCTGTTTAAAATGTACATGCATATAAGAGATGTACTATAGGTCCCGTATTTGGTCACCAGTTTTACATCCGATTTGTTTTTTCTTTTTGCTTTGCCGGTTTTAATAACCATTTGTAATGTTATGTAGTATGTTTGTTTCTTGATTCCTTGTTAGTTGCTTTACTAAAAAAAAATCTGTTTTTCAATGACAGCCTTTCAAAAGTAACTGTATTTTGATTGAGTATTTTTTTCCCAAACAGCATAAGTTGCGAAGTAGATTTTATAGTAGATATTTTGGACATGCTTAAAGGCATGATATGGACTTATATTGTTCCTTGTCTACTGACTTTGACATCACAACTTAGGATAGATTCTAGTAAAGAGTATTAGGTGGCATCATGGCATCATTCAGATGAATGGGAACGCTAATGCATTAATTCTTGTAAAACACCTACATTGATTTTAAGTGACACATCATCATGTATGGTTTATTAGGATAGGTAATAACTGCCAGATGCAGAATGCCAGATTTTTATCTGATTCCAGAAACTTTGAACTGTTGCAGACTACAGTTAAAAGTATGGAAGCTTACTTCTGCCACAAAATAAAAAAAAAAAACATAAAAAGGTAACAGCAACTTTTTATCTTACAGTCTGACTTTTTTTTCTCACAATTGGGAGTGGTGGGCAGTCGTGGCCTAGAGAGTCAGATGCGGGTTCCAGTCTCAGTACCAGCAGGAGTTGTAGGTCGGGGGAGTTAATGTACAGCTCTTTTCACTTTGAACTGTTGCAGACTACAGTTAAAAGTATGGAAGCTTACTTCTGCCACAAAATTAAAAAAAAAAAACATAAAAAGGTAACAGCAACTTTTTATCTTACAGTCTGACTTTTTTTTCTCACAATTGGGAGTGGTGGGCAGTCGTGGCCTAGAGAGTCAGATGCATCCTCAATACCACAACTGAGGTGCCCTTGAGCAAGGCACCGAAGCCCCAACTTCTCCCCGGGGCTCTGGAGCAAATGGCTGCCCATTCTGGGTGTGTTCACAGTGTGTGTCTGTGTTTGTTCATTACTCACTGCTGTGTGTGTGCACATGGTTGGGTTAAACACAGAGCACAAATTCCGGGTATGGGTTAAATGTCATGACTTTATTTCTCAGTTGACAGTTTCTCAGACCTTTTTTCTTGAAATTCTGAGTTTACATCTCACTATTCTGAGAGATGAAAAATAAAATGAAAAATAATTGCCACTTTTTATCTCACAATTCGGACTTTTTTTCTTCGCTCAATTTTGAGTTTATATCCCACAATTGTTTTTTGTGTGATATAAAAGTTGCAATTATCTTCTTTTTTTATCTCATGACAGAAACAAGCTTCTAAGTAAATGATTGTGTTTGTGTGAAGTACTGTATTGAGATTTCTACACCCCAACACTCCTCATTTCCTTTAGACAGTGAAATGACTCTGATTTGCCAACATTTGCATAAGCTTTATTAGAAAAAAAGACTCTGGGGTTCAGACATATTTTTCAAAGCACTGTATTTTTTTTTAAGTATATATGCTAAAACTAACCTGCTAGTTAAAAACAGGATAGTATAATGCCAAGTTAGAATTTCAGAAGAGTTAAAAGAATTTCAGATCTCTAATCCTACAAACAGAATAAATGATAATTCAGTGATTTTTGGATCCTTCTGCTACTTTCAGTGGGTTGTACGCTTTTTTGTACAGTTGTTATTAAACAGCATTACTTTTTTCTTCCATGTTTGACTCAGAAATTCCTGTAAGTCCTGCAGGCTCTTTTTACTGATAGTTTTGCCTTTATTGATGTGTTCTCCAACATTTTGGGCCCAATAAGCTTGTGAGAGCCATGAGTTTCCTGTTCTGTTGTAGCAGCAAAATGCCATCCACATGTAAGAGGGAATGTTCACTCTCTCATTCAGTTTAGTATCACCAGGTATCGCTCCAGTCAGCATATAGGCTAAAACTCTATTATTATCATTATCATCATAGCAATACTTATTCATGGTCTCATTAATCTCATTTTCCATGCGATTCCAACTGCCGGAATTAAAGCTGATCTTCTGTGGCACAATGTTGGTCAGTGTGAATGTAGATTCAGCAGTGAGATTGTCAGGTGCATAGCTGCAGGGAAACAAGTGACCGCGATTCACTCTTTCACGGATATTGAAGTAGTCTTCGCTGATTGCCTGATTTGCATATGGCACAGTCATGTCATCAACAGGAGGATCGAGCTGCAGAACAAATATTTAAAAGAGAAGCACTTGTTAAAAATCAATAAGAAAAGAACCTTGTTAATTAATGCAATAGTTCACTCAAAAATGTAAAATTGATCAAACTCCTCAGCATTTCGTTCCAAACCTGTATAGTTTGAAGTTCTTCTGCAGACAAAATTAAAATGTTGGAAGAACCTTTAATTAGTTCTTTTCCATGCAATTTAAGGACCCAAAATGGAAATTCACCCTCATGCCATCCAAGATGTAGATGAGTTTGTTTCTTCATCAGATTTGGAGAAATGTAGCATTGCATCACTTGCTCACCAATAGATCCTCTGCAGTGACTGGGTGCCGTCAGAATGAGAGTCCAAACAGCTGATTAAAAACAATAATGCATTACTTGGAATACTTGTGGATTATTGTGATGTTTTTATCAGCTGTTTGGACTCCCATTCTGACGGCACCCATTCACTGCAGAGGATCAGCTGGTAAGAGAGTGATGTAATGCTACATTTATCCAAATCTGTTTCTATAAAGAAATTCTTGGATGGCCTGAGGATGAGTAAACTTTTAGCTAATTTCATTTTTGGGTGAACTATTTCTTTAACATCTGTCCTAAGAGTCCTATATTCCATGTCTTCTGAAGCCGTGCAATAGGTTTTTGTGTGGAATCGGCTGAAAATTCTGAGAGAGTGAGTGTGAGTGAGAGAGAGAAAGAGAAGGTTTAAAACATGTCTGTGAACTGTTCATTTAAGACACTAAATTGTTAGAGAAGTGAAATCAGCACCGAATAGCAGATTTGAACATTTCTGACGTGGAACTACAATGATTAAAAGGAAGCAGGTGAAGGACAGTCAATATAACACTTATGGAAAAATGTAAACCAAGACAACAATGAATTACTGTCTGTATTATCAGCACATGTAGTATATGTAGTAAAAATCTCTGGCAATACATCCGAAACATAAATATGTTCTCTGAATCATAGAAAAACAAAGAAACTGCTATGAAGCTGATCACCTGAGACTCAACCATCCATGGAATCCTTGGTCTTCTGAACCATGATGTACTTTGCCCAGTATATTTGTAAGCCGAGAAAATAGGAATCCTGTTTGCTGTGTCATAGAATGTTGCAAATCTGTACACATTCCGATATTTTTGACAGATTTCTTTGTAATTATTTTCCAGAGAGCGTGAATCCAGGATGCCAGGAATCACCGGAGGCTGTTCTTTGTAGAAAAACTCTCTACATTTAGTGAATGCTCTTACAATTTCGGGCATGGCTGATGGAAAGATCAAGGCCAGCAGTACAGTGAGGACGCTCACAATATAGAGCCGCATCTTTATGCAGAACTGAAACTCGAAATAAACCAGAAGTGATTCGAAAATGAAGGATAATTTTTTTTAATGACTTCGTTTGCAGAAAGTCTCGCAAGTCAAACAGCCTCTGTTCTTGCACGCTTAAATAATTTACCAGCAGAATTGATCTTTAACACAGATGTGCACACATCTACCCCTGTGAACCCACAGACTTTAAAATAGAGCTTGAGTGTTAGTTTTCTTTCACACATCTCCAACATGCCACATATTTATTCTCCAATTTGAGTCAGCACTACTTAGAATTCACCCAAGCCCTAAAGTTAAGATTTGATTTTAAGTGACGTGATTATGTATTTTGCACTATTTCTGTAGTATTTTAGTATCTTGCAATTTTGTTTCTCATCGTGATACTCCATATAATGCAAATATTTATGCTGCCACCATATCTTGAAGGCTGTGAAACTCATTTGCATATTCAAAGAACAATTTAAACCGTATTTTAAAAGTTTTCAGTTTAGCTTTCACAAAAATGAGTTTCAAAATGAAGTAATGAGAGGCAAGGGTTAGGTTATTTAGTTGTGATAAACCTGAACAGATGTTTTTTGGGTCCTCCTAGGAGCTTGGCAGTACAAGATCACGGTCTATTTCTTTTTGCATGGTAAAGAGCAGCTGTTGTGACCTTCAGTGCTGTTCTTATGGACTTTGCTTTTACCTGTGTCCCATCTTAGTCTTTTTGCTCCATATCAAAGCGTGACCATATTGAGAGCAATGATATGAGCATGTTTGATGTGACATGCTTAACAGATAAATAACACTATACTGTCACGGAACAGAGAACAGAGGTCACAGGTAAGTGGGTTCAGCAGATTTATTGATACTGGGATCAGAAACGGAAATCAGGCAAGTTCAGAATTCAACATAACACCATAACTTAATGAAGTAACTGGGAAAGTAAACGATCTTTCTTCATCCACAGGAAAGGCTTCATAGAACTCAGGCACAAACTCAGGTGAAGTCCTGAAGAAATTTCATTGGATTTATCTCAGAATAACTTGGTTCAATAATCTCACTCCAGGTTCGAGGGCTCAGAGAGCAGACAGACAGAGGATTCTCTGGAAGGTGGATCTGGACATGGTGATTTAGGGCAGTAGAGCTGGTGGTAAGGAGTAGGGAACTATATTCCACAACATGAAGGAAATACCAACAACAAGACCACACAATAAGGGAGTGAAGGGTGATTGCTTTTATATGGGAGATGATGAGGTGAATGGTGGCAGGTGTGCTGATTGGGGATCAGGTGCAGGTGTGAAGCAGGCGGGATGCTGGGAAATGAAGATGATTGAAGAGGAATGATTCCTTAATGAAGTATGGTGACTGAGCTGGTGACTGGCTGGCGATTGGGATGGTGACTGAGCTGGTGACTGGCTGACAACTACAGAGTACTTCCTGCATGCTTGAGTGTCTTCCTTCAGCCAATCCTTATAAAACCTAATTATGTATAATTGTCAAATTAAAAAGGAGCCGGGTCAAATGATTTTGACTTAACATAAAAATTGTTGGGTGGCTTAACCTCAACTTGCCATTGAGCTGTGTCAGGGAGAGGCCAGTGAGTGTTTTTTGTTTGTTTGTTTGTTTGTTTGTTTGTTTTACACCTGTAAGTATTTTTTTTGAGCTACATGTGTATCAAACATTAAAATAAAAACGTTAAAACAATTTCATTAAAATAATTCTATAAAGGTAAGCAAACAGGAGCGTAAAAATATTGAAAAATAAAGGACTAACAATTACAAAAGGCTAAAAACACTGAACAAACAAATAAAAATGGGCGAACAATAAATAAAGAAAAAAAAACACTTTGTATATGCTTGTGTTAGCCACGCAAACAACCGAGGCAGTTGTAAACCACTGTATATTAAAATGTATACCAATTAAGTTACTGAATATTTGACTAATATAATCAATTAAAAGCATGAATATAATTCTAGAAAAAGCATTAAATTATCCCAATTACATTTGTGGTATTAATTATTATCTTGCGTATTTTACACTGAATGTAACCAGATAATATATAAAAACTATGGATGCATGGGCTAATATCTTTCAAGTGTTTTTCATAAATGTATCATTACCGATTAAAAAAAAATCATTACATATTTCTTCTATTTAAGAATAAGGAATAATGAAAAAGGAGCCGGGTCAAATGATTTTGACTTAACATAAAAATTGTTGGGTGGCTTAACCTCAACTTGCCATTGAGCTGTGTCAGGGAGAGGCCAGTGAGTGTTTTTGTTTGTTTGTTTGTTTGTTTGTTTTACACCTGTAAGTATTTTTTTTGAGCTACATGTGTATCAAACATTAAAATAAAAACGTTAAAACAATTTCATTAAAATAATTCTATAAAGGTAAGCAAACAGGAGCGTAAAAATATTGAAAAATAAAGGACTAACAATTACAAAAGGCTAAAAACACTGAACAAACAAATAAAAATGGGCGAACAATAAATAAAGAAAAAAAACACTTTGTATGTGCTTGTGTTAGCCACGCAAACAACCTAGGCAGTTGTAAACCACTGTATATTAAAATGTATACCAATTAAGTTACTGAATATTTGACTAATATAATCAATTAAAAGCATGAATATAATTCTAGAAAAAGCATTAAATTATCCCAATTACATTTGTGGGATTAATTATTATCTTGCGTATTTTACACTGAATGTAACCAGATATGATATACAAACTATGGATACATGGGCTAATATCTTTCAAGTGTTTTTCATAAATGTATCATTACAGATTAAAAAAAAATCATTACATATTTCTTCTATTTAAGAATAAGGAATAAGGAATAATGACCCCTTTGCTAGAAATCGTGTTCTGGGGCGACGAAGGGGTGCCCCTAGGTAGAAATTGCATTTGGGCTCAGTCTCCCTTGTCGGGCCCTTGGAATCGTCTTAACTTTTCCCCCGTTATGGTGCCTTTGGTCATTGGTAAGAAAAACACATTCACTCACTCATATTAGCTTAAGGAGTTATGACTGGAGTCCAGTTGTGTTAGCTTCATGGAAATGAACTTTTGTGGATTTTACATGATAGCCTGTTACTATACTTATTACTTGGAGGTACTTTCTAAGTGACTTTCTAAAGCAATGTCTAAGTTGTAATACTGTTGTAATTGCGTCCTCTTGTGGCGAGCAAAAAGAATAACACGAATGTGACGGGACAGACACAGGCTACAGGCTAAATCTTAAATGTTCTAATGAACTGAATAGCCATTTGATTGAATACAGCACTGAACAGTTTTTTTGTTTAACATCTGTAACTGTGTGTGTGTGTGTGTGTGTGTGTGTGTGTGTGTGTCTTATATGTATCAAATGTTGAAACATTTCACCCACACTTATGTTTCAAATTGTTTAATACAAGTTAAAATTTAGTTTACTCATAAACTGTGAAAATTATACTCTAGAGTGCTACTATTTTAAGTATTTAAAAAATAAATAAATATAGGAACTACTTTATTTTAACAGAAAACACGGTGCTATACTGTATATGTTTATATATATTATAAACACGTTATATCTGCACTGTTTGTTATTCCACCGGTTTGCACTCTATCTGCATGTGCCTTGCACACTTTGTTTTTTTCTTCTTTTTTACAATGTCCTTATTTGTATAGTTGTATTTTTTTATGTATTTAAACTGTATTTATCTGTACTTTTACGTTCTACTGTTAGTGTTTAGTGTTAACTGTATGCACCAAGGGTCTGAGAGTAACGCAATTTCAATTCTCTGTATGTGTGTGCTGTACATGTGGCAGAATTGACAATAAAGCTGACTTTGACTTTGACCTTTTGACTAAACAGTCTGTGGGTTTGCTCTCCAACACTTGTGGCAGTATTTGAAAATATATTTCGTGTAAAAGCAATAGGAAATACTTGATGTTTACATACGAAATCCATAGGCAATAAACAAACAAAATCAATCCATTATTTACACACTGTACAATCTAATTAATTAACCTTACTTAAAAAAGCATGCAAACTGATTGCTTAAACAAACAAAGAAATTGCTGAATAAAGTCAATATTTTAGTTTTCTCTGCACACAAAAAGTATTCTCGTAGTTTCATCAAATTAAGGTTGAACCACTGCTGTCACATGGACTATTTTAATGGTGTCCTGACTACCTTGATTTCTGGGCCCTGAACTTGGTAGTTGCAGGGCTGTCTATGAAAAGGTCAGAAAGCTCTCGGATTTAATCAGAAATATCTGAATTTGTGTTCTGAAGATGGACTAAGTGGCCTTATATGTTTGGAATGACATGAGGGTGAGTAATTAACAACAGAAGTGTCATTTTTGGGTATATAAAAAACCCAACTATCCCATTCCAAGCATTGAGGATAATATGCTTGATATTATGCTTAATATGCATAATATGCTAATATGCTCTTCTTCCCCTCTAGATCACAACCATTTTACCTTTAGGCTATGGTCTTATTTCTTTAATTTGGTTTTGGTGTCCACTCTTGACTTAATAGCTCTTAATCTCAATTGTACAACTCAAATGTACTGTAATACTAGTTTTATTATTCTACTCTATTCTATTCTATTCTATTTTTTGAAGTGTGGAATCAGAGATGTTTATCTGCACAAAAATATTGTGATCTTTCAGGCTTGTGCAACAAGCTTGTGTCTTTGGAAACATCATCGTCAGGAGAAATTTCTTTAAGAAGTCACACTTTAAACACATGTATATGTTGCATTCACAGTAGAACATATCAAGCTTAGAAAATGTCTAAAGATATTTGAGTCTTATTTAGTGGTAATACATTTTAAAGCAGTTTTTTTCCCTAAATTTCAGTTCCTAATGATAAAAATGTAAAATACAGCTTTTATTAAAAAAAAAAAAAAAAAAGATCTGTGTTGTTTTCAGCGGCAATTAACTTATAAAAAAAACAGCCTTTGCAATGACAGCATTTGTAGTTTTATGAAGGAATGAAATCTGAATTTTCGTGCATTGTCTTA